GTTTTCGGTTTTTGAAAAAGCACCAATCGTCAGTCTCCGCTTTGCACGCGTATTCGCGAGGCTTTTTCTTCCATCCTCGCACAGCTGGTCATCTAGTGAGATCTACTTTATCGACCTAATCCAAGAGACTAATTAGTCGGCAAACACCTCTTCACCGTATGTTAAAAGACATCTTATGTCATGTAATTACAAAGTTTGAATGGTTACAGATCATCTCCCGAATCCTGTGGTGATTTTTTTCTTCCGATAAAGCTCGTTATGTAGCCCATGCCAACAGGTTTTGCTAACTCAACTCTCTTCTGCTGCATCAGAGCTAGTTTTTTCAGTACTAGAAAACTCTTTTCGCAATAACTAAGACAAGGCAATGGAAGATTACAATGAGGCGTCGTTGAAGCTTCTTACATTTACAGTGAAACTGTTAGATTTAACTAGCCTCTATATAAGGAGGCGGTATAAGAACTAGCCACCATTTGGGGCGAAGTATGCTGCTCAGATATTTGTCTTTGAAAATTACTTTTCTGTTCTAAAAAGCGAATAGTGTGAAAACTATAAGCTTCGAACAAGTCTCATCCCGTTTTCACTTTTGATGTAGCTTTATCCTAATTTTAAATTTTTAACACATTTTCGGTGTGTCCAATAAAACTATTTTTATTGTGTACAATAGCTTTGCACAATAGATTATATCCTGCTTTTCAGCATTAGTTAATTTTAGCATGCCATCGGAAAATTGTCGGGGGCAACTGCGTATAGCATGTTTCCATTCCGTGACTTCTATTTTTCGCTTGACCCAAGTACTGATTAGTCACGCAAGTCACGCAAATCTAGCACCATGATTTTGAAATAGCACCTGTTCTTCTTGATTTCAATAATTACCACGGATACCTACGTTTCAAAGACTTACCAAGTTCTATTTTTTTTTTCCGATCCAGAGTACTGATCAAAATGAATGGCATGGAAATAATCTTTATCTTCCAAAAAAAGGGGAGCAAAATGCAAATTGACAAAGTTCAAACTCAGTGCAAAAGTATAATAGAAGAAACTTCCTCTGAAGTATGCTATACGTCCTTTGCTGACTATTCTTTGTTAACGTTTGATTCTGGCAGGAGAGAGCACGAAAAAGAAGTTACTATTCGGGTTCATTTCGTAACGTATATTTCACGATCTGATCGACTTAATTGATTCTTCCGCCTGTTTACAAAACCATACAGCTTTTCTATTTGAAAGGAAGCCATCGGTTTCGCGATCAGTTGCCATATTGCCTTTTGTAAATATCGTATCTTACAAAGAAATCAAACTATCCATTCTAAACTGGCGAATTTAGAGGCTTGGCTAGACAGTGAAAGGATGATTGTGCTTACCACAGCGAACTACCCCGAGTCTCGAAAGTGAAACCGTGAAACACTCGGGGGTTCCCGACATTCCGAGAAAACAGAATATTTATATTAACGTCATGCAGTTTATTTAGTAACCAATTATTCAGTAAAAGTGACCTTTGTATTATGGTATTAAAGTATTTTTTAACATATTTCGGTTCTTATAATTTGAAGCTTTAACTTTATATTAAGTCTTAACTTCTTAAAGGAACAAAATCCATTTCGTGACTTTTTTTTTTCACATAATCTCAATGCTTTTCGCTTTCAAAAGCCAACGAAAATCAGTCACGCAAGTCACACAAATCTAACACCACGGTTATGAAATAGCATCACTGAGTTATTCATTATTTTAATGACTTTTCGAAGAGTTATGTTTTAAAGACTTACCAAGACCTAAGTGTTTGTTGATCCAACAGTATTGATCAAAATGAATGGCGTAGAAATAGGGCTTAATCTGCAAAATGCAAAATTGACAATGTTCGAATTCAAACTCATTGCAACAATATACAAAGTGAACTTTGCTGAAGTGTGTTATACATACTTAACTAAAAATATCCTTTGTTTCATACAGCTGGCAAGAGAAATGATCTTATAAAGCACGAAAGACCTTGAACTTATCATCTGAATTTATTTTTTCTCATAATATGATAGATTTCATTCTTCCGCTTTTCCGTAGGAACTAGAAAGCTTTTTTATTTAGCGGTCGCCTTTGCAATCAGTTTCCTCCTTGTGTTCTGTAAATATCGTAGGTTCCAAAGAAATCGAGCTATTAATTCTAAACGGGTAAATATTCATGAATCTAGAGACCAAATAGCTAAAGGATAACTGTGTACTTACCACGGCGAAATCGGGCAACCTCGGTTTCGAAAGGCTTAGGGGTTTCCCAGCATTCCGAGAAAAAAGCTACAATGAAGGTCATCATATTGCGTCATGCATTTTGATTGGTAGCGCCGGGGCCGGTTGGGTTGGTCGTTGCAATATGGTATTAAACCCTTTTGTTTTTCCAAAATCAGCCAACATACAGAAATAGATGGCACTTAAAACCATTGCACATTTAAAATTCGGTATGCGGTAATTGTTCCCCCATAGTAAACTAAAGATGGGCGAAATCAGGAATAAGTGGTAAAGAATTTTCCGACGACTCCTGGCTATGGGCTATTCCCTCTACGAGACTTGCACGCAGACAATCATGGTTTGTATGTATCATGTACGCCCACGACATCTTCGAGACTTGGCGCGCGACATTGCACAAATCTATCATGATTCATTGCGCGCGCGCCTCATAGAAGGAATGGAATATAGCTAGCAGTCGGAATGAAAGACTATCTTTTAAAAAAAACGCATTCCATAATTTCAGTACGTTTTCTCCAAAAAACAAACGTTTCGTTTGGCTTTGCATGTGTCATTCAGTACATGAATCTATGCACCCGAAATTTCAGGAAATTTCATTTTGTTAAATGGAAATATCGGCGGGGTGTTACTAAAACTGAGAACGGGGAACGGGGAACGGGGAACGGGGAACGGGAAACGGGAAACGGGAAACGGGAAACGGGAAACGGGAAACGGGAAACGGGAAATGGGAAATGGGAAACAGGAAACGGGAAACCTGGAATGGGAGTCTGAGAACGAGTGTACAGCTGTAACTCGCCTGAGAATTCAAAATGGCGGACAGTAAACGTGACTTTCTGCCCGATGTGCCCACAGAGTGGTAGAGCAGAGTCCGAATGGTACTGAGACAAACAAAGCATGAAATGGCGCCTGGGGAGAAAATCAAATCGGTATTATCACATAAGCTACCCCAATCGGTCAGTACAAAATGCAGACTGCAAACTGTAGGCTGTGTACAAAAAGCAGACCAAGTACAAAACGCAGACTGAGAATAGCCTGTTTCTCGTCTGATACGTGACAACATGTCATCTAAAAACATACCGAGTGTCACGCAGTCGCTTTTCCGCGGCCATCTTTCACGCTCATTAGCATTATTGTGGAATATTCCTTGCTCGTTTCTTCGCATATCAGTTGTATTTATTTATTTATTTATTTATTTATTTATTTATTTATTTATTTATTTATTTATTTATTTATTTAACAAAGCGGCCAGGCCACAGGTTAGTTATCCGCTGCCCAACTGATTTCTAACTGACTTGCCGATCTCCGAAAGGCCGCCGTATGCATGCTGCCGAATGCGAAGGCAGTGGACGTATGGAGTTCCGTCCCCGCCAAAAATCAAAGTTGATCACAACATTCAACTTGACAGTCTAACAATTAACTTGGCAAACATCGACATCACATTTCACTCATCAACTTTGTACTTTGTATCACAATCATTGAAACTTTAAAAATCAACTTTCAAAGTGACAGTTCAACGTTCAACTTTATCCATCAACATTCATGTTAAC